CTCTCTCTCTCTCTCTCTCTCTCTCTGTCTCTCTCATACCCAATTCACACTGTTCGTTTCATGCCTAACCTAAATAGGAAATAAACCATATCATACACTAAGTCAAGCAGGGAAGAGAAAAGAAGCAAGAGAGTTGGAGAATAGACTCACTGGATCCTAACCAGGTATTCTGAAAGTCTCACCACTATTCTCATAGCAACTTCCACCTAGATTTAGGACCCAATGTTATCAATTACTTACAACACACAAGTACATTGATGCAAAATCTTTTCTGCATGCATGACCACCCACTCTACACCCAATAGAAGTCATTTTCCCCCTGTCTTTGTCATTCTAGACCTTGGGCAGACATCTGGAGAGCTACCAGCAGTGTTTAAGCTAGCAACAGTGGTGAGACAGATCAATAGAACGGCATCAAAGAATGTGGCCTACAATAATCTGAACACAGCCTTGCCGCTCACCTATATGGCTGTGCCCAACTTCTTTGGGGCACTGCCATGCTCCTGCATGCCTGCAGATGCCATCCATACTCCAACTCCATTTCAGAAAAAGTATTGACATCATACTATATACTTGGTGAAATGAGTAGATGTGTAAAATCGTAAAGCTGAAACTAGTAGCAAGAGTTCCTAGGGACATGGTCTAAAATATGTTTTGTCCTCATTTATACATTCAAAGTTATCTGTTGCTTCTTTGCTTATCTATTCCTCTCATTTAGATATGGATAAATACACACCTAAAGGGCTAAAAATCCATTGAGAATTAAGTTTTAGTAGATATCGTTAGAGAAAAAATTAAACAGTACAATTTTTTCCGATTGAAACATAGGATAATTATAGCAATACAAATTAATCTGGTTATTTAATATATGAAAAACATTAGATTTTAGAGGTGAGATATAAAAAAGAAAAAATTATAGCCCTAAGACTTGAGAACAATATATATTCTGTGCAGTAGGTAATAAGAGAAAATATTTGGTATATATTATATAATATCCTCATGTTTTATCTCAAGGGCATAAAGGTGGCTAGTTTAATTTAAAGTAATAAGGTTGTTGATTTTTTAAATTGCTCCTTAGATATCTCTGTAGCAGCTGCTCATTGAAAAGGTAGAGTGCTACCTGGGAAATAAATTAGTTGTACAACCACTTGAAAGAAAATTTTATCTTCTAATAATTTCTTTTTCCTCTATCCAGCTGGGTTATTCCTATAGCAACCACAGATCACAGAACTTCTGGTGTTTTATCTCAACATTACATTCTTGGCATTCTAATTCATGAGTGACAACTTCTGAAAACATGATGTGTTAATTATGTTTCCTTCAATTTCACTTTATTTTAATTTGACCTCATAAAAAAACAAGGAAATATCATTTGTGTTACCTAATAATAGCCAATTATTAGCATGTCCTAATTTCCTCTGAATTAGGAGAGCCATACAATCAATTCATGACCTGACTTCGTCATAACATTTAACACAGGTGAAACAAAAACAGTGCCCGGGCTCCTTGCTGTTTTCAGGGAACACCATGTAGACTGACTGACTTGGTGCACATTGGCAAAAAGGACACCCCCACGTTAACTTACAGGTCTTCCTTTTGGGCCTCGCTCTCCTCTTGGTCCCTGTGATCCTGGAGGTCCCTAAAACAGAAAATGATGATTATGCCTGCAAAACATTTATGCTTTTTTGTTGGATTTTTTTAAAGATTTGCTTGATAAAAGAAAATTGGAAAACAGAAATATCACACTTCCTAATTCAGTTTTGTTGAAGACTACAGAGAATAAAGCCATGTGCATATAACAGTTCTGTATCCATAGAAGGATACAGTGTATTTATTCTAGCAGTGTAACCTGATAGCCTGTAAAAATTAAGTGCCCAGTAAAGTATCATGGAGCTTAATGAGCTAAATAGATTAGCTTGACTACTAGTAATAATTGCAAATTTTTAAGGATCATTTTTGCTGTCTTCTCCCAAGTACAGCCTTTGTCACTAAATTCTGGGCACAAAAACTTACAGTTCCGAAACTTACAGTTTTGAAAATCAAACAAATTTGCAAACTCCAAATGATCAATTATTTCAGGGAATACATGAGTTCAGATTGGTACATGATACCCTTTACTGTTCATCACTGTTCAAGTTGCTGATGAATGCGATGGATAGAACAACCTTTTAGCCTGTTACAGACCGCTTTATGTACATTCAATCATCTTTTTTTACTTGATTTAGAATGTTACATATTTCTATTGTATATTTAAAATCCACTTAGAATTGTCCAAATTATAATTGCAGTTATTTTTCCTTTAAAATAACAAATGACTATAATATTTCAAAAGTGGTCTTAAAATGGCTTTTTTTCTGGGAGATGGTAGTTGTCAGGGAAATTTTATTTCTCTTCAAAAAATAATTTCAGTTGAGCGATGAAGATTAGATTGTGCATTTACTCAATCCAACATACAGCATTGTTTAAAAGCAAAAGCTTCAAAAGGACCAGAGTAGGTCTGTTAAAGCTGTGTTA